GTCAAGTAAATATCTGTGTTCAGTGGTGAAACAAGGTATAGGACCATTGGTCAAGCAATGGGCTCCTAGTCTGCGGAATGACAGCTCTGCAAGAGCTGGGCGGAGGGAAGGCGGCAGAGGCAAGGGCGGCGTTAGTCCACAACCTACACACAGTGGATGCCCATTCAAGACTGGCCTTAATCCAATGAGAATTAAAATGACCTCTCTTTAAATGCCTGGAATTCTACCAAGTCAAGGTTTTATTTAGGCCCAGTGCACTTTCTTTAAAATACACTTACACTTGACAGGGTTGTTGCTCATTACATGTTAGTGAGGATTGTTTTAATCACTGTGGTTTTTTTCTCTAATAGAGATAAAATTCACATAGCATAAAATGTACCATGTTAACCGTTTTAAAGTGTACAGTTCAGTGGTTTTACTATATTAACTTTGTTGTGCAACCGTTGCCATATCTAATTCCAAATCATTTCCATCACCTCCACATCCCTGTTTTCTTAACTCCTAGCTGCAACAGGAGCGCTGACCCTGAGGAAGTTTGCAGGAGGAGAGGGGAAAAGGCTACTGTCAGAGAGAGCAGGGCTGGGCCGAGTGCCGGGGGGCGGTGCACTCATGGTAAAAGATATCATTCCTAAACATCTGTACCCCCATAATATGCTGAAATAAAAGAAAAAAAATAAATAAAATGCTGGTTAGAGCTGGCTCTGGGGTGTTGGTGAAGACACATGTCTCCTGACTTTCTCAAGAATATGGGGCAGCACCAGTCTGATTCTTAAAATTAATGGGATAAACCGTCTAGTGTTTAGAAACAGTCTTGTGTCACTGAAAAACACTGAAATGTCAACCCTATTACAAGCTCCCTGTCAAAAGTGTGGCTGGCTCGATTCAGACACTGAGTTTAGGATGAGTCTACCCTGGGATGTTCCAGCATCACCTGGGGAGTGTCTTCTTATTGGGAGTAAAATCAAGAGAAAACTTTAGAGTTGACGGGACTTTCACTGGGACAACGGGAACATGTATGTGGGAGCTAGACACCTTATTTGGTAGCTGTACATATTAACAGAAAAGAATTAAATGATATTAAAAGAAAAAAATCCAGAAGGGTGCATTCCCTTAAGTACTCTACCTTGAAATATACAAACCAGGTCCCTGATATTCTGGTCAAAGACAGGAGCTTTCATCAGCTAAGTGACTACTCACACACCAACAGGATATAGTTAATAAGGTCTTTAGCAAAAGTAGCTTTGTCCTCCTAAGAGAAAGGAAGCAAAAATTGTTTTGAAATTTAAAGTTAGGTTCCTGCATACTGAGTTTTGCCAAAAGGTGAACTCAAGCTTTGAAGGTGTACAATAGGTATTTCACTGAGCTCTGCTATTAAATAAAGCTGTAAGCACCTCGGATGCAAGCTGTGGAAATGAGGGAAGTAACCTGCCTTGGGTTGTGAGTATTTGCACAAAGTAAAATCAACAAACAACGCTCAGGCTGTAAGTAAGTTTCCTGCTGTGCCAGTTTTATAAGAAAGGTGTTTTTCTTTTCAACTAAACTTTCCATCCACTTAAATCATTTATTTCCTTGGAAGTATTTTAAGAACATAGCCAGTGAAATAGTTTACTGTTTTTATGTTTTTAAAAAAGTTTAGTAGCCCACTCACTGTTTTATCAATTTGAGTATGAATATGCTTAAAATACTCCAAATATTCTGGAACTTCCCTCTGATCAGAAGTCCTGAATGGTAACCTATAGACTGTTTAGCAAATGAACCAGACAAGGACAAATTATACACTTTGGTAAAAAGATGTTCTAATTTATTTGGAAATATGTCACTAATCAGTTTGTAACTATAACAGAAAAGTAGCTTAATATTAATCCAGGTAACGTGACATGTCACTTAGAATCAACACTTTTTACCTTCTTGCAATGCGAATTGTGCCAGTCAGGCAGGCCTTCAGAGCAGGCAACCAGGCATCACTTGGTGGAGGCTGGAAGAGGCTCCTTTCCCAAAATGGTTCACTCTCTATTATGAGATCCGAAATTATACCGTAGGAATTTTATTTCTTGGGTCATGAAGGTCTTTTGTTCATTGAGAAGAATCTGCTTTTAAAGTGCAAATACCCATGGGATGGGTGATTCATTAAGCATTACATTACATTTTAACCTGATCACTAGCTGAGAGTGTGTTGGACATGTTGGTTTTGTCCATCACTCCTTCTTTCCAGTAATGGGACACCCCTCCCATTAAGGAAGTGTTTTTCTCCCGGTCCAGCTCTGAGCTTTTGGTGGGAGCTGCCCGCTAGAGCATTCTCCTTCCCTATCCTTATTCCTCTTTGCCCTGCCGTCTAGTGGCAGGTCACGACCAAAGCTTGTCCGAACACAGTTCCTCTCCTCTGGCCACAGAGAATGGTTCACGTCCTGGGACGGGTACTCAATCCAAGCCAGGACGGAGTTCTTTCTTATACCTTTTCTAACTGGAGCTAGTGGAAAATGCTTTCTTTTTTCCGCTGGAGGAGAGATGACAAGGAGGGCATAGCTGCTTATGGCCACTTTTCCAGTCTCTACTGACATCAAGCTTGAGAGAATGAAGTCTCAATGCACAGAGAAGCAGAGATGAGTGACACAGAGTGTCCCGATGCTACCTGAGAACTGGATTCCACCAGACTGGAAGGCTAAGAGCATGTCCTCTCTTGGTTTGTTTACATGTGCCGATAGATCACCCTTTCTCCTTAAGCTATTATGACTGGGGCGTCTGCCATTTGCAAACAGAGGTTTGAGAACCCAAAACAAACATTTTATAAAATAACACAAGATAACTAGGGGAGGGGAGGTGCTCTGGGTCCAGAAATATGTGTGCGTGGAGTGGTAGGTCAGCCCTAATTGCTCTGTGGTTAAACAGGGGTCATTGTGTATTAAAGTTCCTGGACATCTTTTCGGATTTTATGAAGTGCACTGAGAGGTAGAGCAAAGTGACTAAGGTCTCTGAAAATGCCAGGTAATACTGCTTTGGGGCCACAATGGCCTTGACAGTCTCCTGGGCTACTGAATTCAGGCTGAGGCTGTATGGGGCTGGGGGAGAGTAAGAATGAACAGATATTTGATTTAAGATCTTAGTGCTAAATGTCAGTCCACTGACTCAGTTTCTCCACCAAATACGAGAAGCAACATGTAGGTCCAAAAGGGGTCACTGTTTTGATCTACAGTGGACTTTAGGATGACTGGCTTTATTTAAATTTTAAATTTGTATCTGTACATAAATATATCAGGGCTTTATTTTTTCCGTACTGGTCTTTTTTTCTTTTTTCTTTGTTGTTGTTGTCATTTAAAACTGAAATATAGAGAAAAAATGAACAAAGACAGAAAGGTAGCATTTAATGTTTTGTTCCTCTCCCAAACCTTTAAAGTCCTGGTACATTAGTATTATGTAATTTTTGACTTATCAAAATATCCAAGAGACAAAAGTGTCATAGCAAATAATATTTTTTTTTTTTTGGTAAAAAATGAAAGAAACAAGAATTAGGTATCTTGCAATAATATTTTCTGCACCTGGTTTAAAATGCAGTCAAGGAGTTGACTTCTGTCAAGTGAACTGGAAAACTTTCTCCACTGTGTTCTCTGTCGGGTTCTTGTCATGCAACCAGTCGAAAGTCTGGCTGTGATGCCTCAGCATAAAGACTTTTACATGCGTAATATCCTCTAATGGATTTTATTCTTTTAGGATTCATGGCGGTAAAAGTAAATTTATAAACTGTCTTTACGTTGTTTAGTTGAAAGAGAAAAAACCAATTGACCTGTGTATGTTGCGAGATGACAGTGCTATATGCCATTTGAACCCCAGAGAGCACTATTCAAAATTGAAAATGAAGACCAAATTCATGTGAAAAGCTTTTCCCTGTAGTCAGGATTCTGGGAGTGGCTCCCTTTCTGAAGCCATTTGTTTCCTCCTCCATTTGTTTCCATGTTGCTCCTCTTTTTCCAAAATTATTTATGAGTAATAAAGGAAGCCAGGGTCAGAACAATGGCATGTTCCTGGCTTTGCAAGAGTGGCACACATCAAAGGAAGACGTTTATCCCAGGGAACCACAGCTTTGCAGGCCTCCACCAGGCAGAAACGAAGTCGGATATTGCTGCTACTTAGCAGAGGGGAAGTGTCCTCAGTCTTGCAAAGCTGGGAAAGCTACCCTGGGGGAGGGCAAATTGCTGCTCTGGAAGCCAAGTGTTGCTTGCACGGATCCAACCTGGGCCGAGGTAATTAACATCTCTAAGCCTCTGCTTATTCTTGTGGAATTCGTAAGTGTACTTACCTCAGAGGTTATTCTGAGAATTAAACACACATGGAACGCTTAGCAAAACGCCGGGCACGTAGCACTCTATTAAATGTTAACTCAGATCGCTAATGATGACAATCTGACGTCTTGGTTTGGATTGGTTTTTTTCCTAATATGTGTTTATAGTTTCTTAGTTGGAGAAGTCTTTTTTAAAAATCAAAACCAATGTGGCTATCAAAAATTTTCTGAACTACCCAGATTTTCATCCCCAAACAGCATTCCCTTCTGGTTTCTGATTCATTCACCTACTGGGAAAAAAAAGAATCACTTCCATTCTCGTGTCTAGTTTACCAGCCTGTGCTTTACTCCAGAGCTCCGTCTCTGTCCCTGCAGGCACCAGCCTTCCTTCCCAGGCCCTGCCTGTCCCCACTGCCACCCAGCTTGTTCAACGACACTTCTCAGATCTATTTCAGTCCAGCTCTTCAGCCTCAGAGATTTTCCCTTAAAGAACCCCTTACTCACTCTCTGCCTCTTTTAAGGTGAGAGCGAATCCAGCTCAGAGTTAGCAGCTCACGTGCTGTCTCTGTTCATGCCAAGTGGAGGTCAGGCCAGGCCAGGGTGCTGCTGGGCCACCAGGCTGCTGGCACTGTGGCCTCCATTTACACTTTATTGCCAATAAAACTATGTATATGTGCATCACCCAGGATGGTGGGCCAGGGTGCAACCGTCAGGTGGTAATACTGACCTCTAGGGGCTGGCTTCCCTTCACACAGAGAGTCTTTATCTTCTCACTGAGTTCCAGACTGTGAAGGCAGCCTCTTGCTTAGCTGTTACCAAATCAGTTTGTAGCTTTTTCACTGTCTTTTTGTGCTTTAGTTTCTTAAAAAAATAAGAATTTCCGTCACTAGAGACAGATGCATCAAAGGAACGAAAAGAATTAATGATGTCAGAGCAAACACTTCCTCTGAAGCCCCACTGAGATGTTCACCTAGAGGGAGTCCTATTCGTGGTCCGTGTAGCAGAGTGTATGTGCTCTTGTCAGAGCATGTGAAGCTCCAGCAATAAAAGCCAACCCTCTACTTCACAGTATCTTCTACCCTCTCAAAGCGCGTTTAATCAAGACCCTGTGGATTGGTTGCTCATAATAAAGGCAATTAGAGAACTCTAGTTGCCAGCTAGCATTTACCACTGAGGTGCTAGTGTCTAAAAGTATCAGGGTTTTTATCCAATCTATAAGTAGACTCATGTGAAACAGAGCCTTGATTCTGAGTCATTTCCCCCCAAATCATGATGGTTTGCATTCAAATAAACTCTAAAGTGTATGATGTGACCACAAAATGTTGGTATTTATAGATATTTACTATGGTATCTATATAGGGAAAGTGTCAAGGGTAAGAATGAGTTTTTAAGCAGTAGAGGACAGGAATGCCTTGCTATAAAATAATCTGATTTATGAGATCTAAACATTTGGGAGAGCTACATTAGGACGTTGTTACATAACCAAAGGATGCACCTTGAGACTTTATGACTAGAAAATTCCTTTTATGAATTTCAAAGTGGCTTTGATTTATCAAAATTGGATTTATCTGCGACTTTGGAGAAGCTGTCTATTGTGAAAAGTGCTGCATTTGCACTTGTGTGTAGCTGCCATTCCACTGAAGAGCTCACCTTGCCAAGTCTTTGTGGGCCAGTGATTAGGAAGCCCAGAAAACAAATGACTAACATTTCTTACTGGACATAAATCTTGAGATAGGGGAAGGGATGGTTTTGCTCAGCAGGGGAGAGTGTGTTCTTGCTTCACCTCTGAAGGCAGCACACTTGGGCAGCAGAGAATGACTCTCCTCTATAAGAGTAAATCCAGTAAATTCAGTTTATCAAAGATGGGATCAAATAGACACAGACGTCCCATTTTTAAAGACAGGTTCTCTTCCAGGCCCAAAGTAGGAAGATCAGGACTTCATTAAAGCTTAATTAATGGCATAAAAATGACTAATAAAGAATGGTAGTCATGGAATTTCTTTAAAGGGAGGTGGAGGAGTAGAATCTGGCAGAGTTCACCCCGCACCATCCAGGTGAGAAGTGCTCTGAGCCACAGCGGGGGTGCCTGGTCTCCGTGGCAGTTCTAGAGCGCTAGTTAGTATTCATGGACTCACTCCATCATCGTACTCATAGTTACGAAGCATCCCTGGGTGTCAGGTGCCGTGTTGGCCAGTTGTTGAAACATTAAGGCTGATGAAGTCTCTGCCTCCAGGCCACTAAGATCCCCTAACTAATTCCCTTCCTTTGAGTCTCTATTCACTGAAAACTTTCCTAATTTGGCCTGCCACGTACATTAGTTCAGGGAGAGACTGATCAAGAAATATGTTGAGTATTTGACAGCTGTTTCTAATGATAAATTATTAAGTTGTCATGCTGATGTACACCTCCTCTTTTGTTGGGTTGGCTCAGCTTGTTCAGTAAGGACCTTGTCCGTCCGAGGCCTGTGGTGAAAGCACCTCTGAGGCCCTGGGTGGCCATCAGTGACCTTTCCTGATGCTAATTCAAGACTGTTCCATGCTCAGATTTTTATGCTTTCCTTTTACCACTTAGAACTTTGGAGCTATAAAGTGGGAAGAAGGGTACAGAAATGAAAATTGAGAAAGTGGAGACAGTGAAGGAAAGTATGGCAAGAGGGATTTAGAAGAGAGTGCTGATTAAAGGTACCAGAAAAGAACTGATGATGATATGCATGCTGAACTGTTAAGGATTAAGTGTACTGATGAGAGCAAATTCCACTGAAATGCATAAAAAAGGAAGGCAGGTTGATGGATGGATAGAGAAATGAATAGATACGTGATAAATTGAAGATAGCAAAATGTTCATGGTGGCGTCTAGTGTTCACTATAAAATTATTTCAACTTTTCTGTATGTTTGAAATTTTTTATTATAAGAGCTTGGGTAAAGAAAGAAGTGAAGAATTAGTTTCCTTACATCGCCCTTCCCTTAATTCTTAACAGATGGTATTCAAATTCTCAGACTATGTCACAACCATTCATATGTAGGTATGTATTTTTCTAGAAACTTTTCTCAAGGTATGCCTTGATAGTAATTAAACAAAAGAAAAAATAAATGTAGCTCGGTGAGAATTGATGGGCAGTCACTAGGAGCTGGCCTGGTGTCTGTCACTAAGAAAAAGTCCTACCAACACATTTCCATTTTGACGGACGACCTGGCAGGTAGAATGCAAGGACGTGGCGTGTACACACAGTGCTGCTTAGTGTCAGTTAACATTGTCAGTTAAAATATTTAACTCTTATTTCTCTTATGGTGATTATGTGTTCTGCCTCTTCTTATTGTTATAATATTTGTATATTTACCTGACGATCTGAGAAAGAAATTGAGGGTATCTAATTTGGAGAAGACAGTACAGTACACAGGACAGTCATGACAGTTGACTTGAGTCATCTAAGGGACTATTCAAGAGGAGAGGAAGTTGAGTCAAACGGCGCTGTTCTGAAGAGACCATGAAGAACAATGGGCAGAAAACACAAGAGGCAGCGTTTGGCACAACACGAGGAAGCAGCCTCCGACAGTCAGAGCTGCGTCCGCAGCAGGATGGGAGGGCCCCGGCAGAGACCTCCTGCTCCGGGAATGCTCCAGTGGAGACTGGGGGACACCCTCAGGCAGGCCCCCAGTAGCCCAGGACCCAGGTCAGCAGGTCGCTGGGGGTCCGGCTGCCCCGCTCTTTGCGCCTCTGGCTTCCTCCAGCCCCCCAGGGGGACAGCACTCGAGTGAACAGGCACCTCTAGGGCTGGCACACGTGTCAGGGACACTGTAAAACTAATTCTGGTATTTGCGAGAAGTTGAATAAAAGGGCCAAGAAGGCTCATGGGTCCCTTAGAATTCAAGGATAATGTGACTCAAAATATACAAACTTTATTATTTAGTTATAAGGGAAAGGGGTGGGGAAAATTAAATTTATATTAAAAATTGGATTAAAGACCTCAATTGGTTGCCTAAGATTTCTGTTGAGACCTTTTGATTATTCAGATACATTTTACAATAGTTTAACATCTTTGTCTTCTTTTTTTTTCTTTTCTCCAGACAGAACTGCTGTATGCTATTAATTCGTAGCTTTAATCAAGCCCTTTGGACATTTCAAGTAATTCAATTTGCCAACATGTTTTTTTATTAGTCATAGACATCAAATGATTTCAGCAACAATAATATTTTCCTTTGCCTTTTTGGTGTTCACTGGCAAGGCAACCCGAGTGTTGTACTTGAATCTAACGGAGTCTGTTACGGTCTCCTTAGTAACTAGAACTCTGCGCAGTGATTACTGAAAGGATAGGAAGGCTTTATAGCTTGGAGGTAAATTCCTATTACCTTGCTCTTTTCCTACTTCTCCTGAACAGGGTGGAAAGAGGGAAGGAAATCATGTATTTGTGCAATGTTTTGAAAAGGAAATATCTATCTGTATCATATTGCTGAATGGCTTGCATGATACCAAGTCGAAGAGAATTAGAAATAACCAAGGAACTATTTATAGACGAGTTTCAACACAAAGTTGCCAGTACTGTTTGAAATTTCTGGGTATTTCCACACACTTTGACTCGTGGCTTTGGTTCTGAGGCTGGGATTTGTCACTCACTGGCCATGAGAAACTGGGCCAGCAATATATTTCTGAGCCTTAGATCCCACTTCATAGAACTATTGTGGGGATCCAATGACATAGCATAGAAATGACAGTACCTAGCACCATGCTTGCAAAATAGTAGTTATGTCTTTCTGTTTTTACCATTATTCCTTGAAACACATAGGGAAAGTGTCAACTCTTCAGTAAAACACTAAACTATCTTTTCTAAGGATGTCCTTGTCATACTTCACAGAAATTAAAATTGGTACTTAATTGATAGCAAGACTTTTGTTTTTTTTTCTTTCTTTTTTTCAATTAAGTTTTCTGCATGATTGCATTGATCTCCTTCTCAGTTTGTATGGGTAGACAAAACTTAAGCTGATGACCTGCAAACAGACGCGCAAATAGCCTTGATCCAATCCCCGCAGAGCTGGCTGGTGCCCAGGCAGATTCGGAGGCTGCCTGCTCCGAACAGCGTGAGGAGCGACCGAGGACTGGCCTCTGCTCCCCACAGCAGTTCTCTCTTGAGCCTGCCAGGGCAGAGCTTCCTCCCACTTTGTCTGAATTCTACTGTGTCCATCCCACCCTCCTGCGCTTAGAGAGCACACGTAACAAAGACAGGGCTTTTGCCTTCAGGAGGCCACTGATAAAACGGTCACTACAGATGAACGAGAGATTTGGTTTGAATACAGAAAGTCTAGGTAGGTTCCTCCTTGCAGTTCTCTTCTAATAGTCCTTCACTAGGAATGAAACTAATAAAAAGGATAGTAGCATTTGGGTGCCACTTGACTTAAAAATCAATTTCCCATGTTTTGTTTTGTTTTATGTTTATAATAACCTCAGGAGAATACTTTAAAGTCTAGGGATGCCAAATATGTGCCACGTGTGCACCTTCCCAGTCCATGGCAGGCCTTTGATTTGGGGATTCTTTCGCCCTGTGTTCCACCCCTGGCTTCGCAATCCTTGACTCCCAGCAGCCACTGCTCGCTGGTGCAACTGAACTGTCGCCTGTGTTAGTATCCGCTGTGCAAATGAGAAAGCGGAGCTGCCGGAGGGTTCGAGAGCGCGTACTCCTGGCTGTACAGTAAGTAGATAGCTAAATGGACTTAAACCAGGTCTTTTGATTCCAGATGCTGACTTTCTTTTCAATGCCAACATTGGTCTTCACTGATCAATAGAACTATTAATTTTTAGAGTTACTTAAAGGTAACCTAGAAAGGCAATGTGACAGGCTTGGCTAAAGCAGAGTAGCTTTGCCATGTGA